AAAGGCAGCTTGTCATCACCACCCACCGCCAACTCTTGGGCTACTCTTTTACCAACGAATAGTGGGATTGACCGTCACATTATAACGCCCCCACGGCTGAAAGGGCGAGCATGTTTGGTGGTATGCGGATTCGAAAGCTAGAAGGAAGGCAACTAGTCAACAACACTTGGACTACTTTGAATAGTGAGATTTTACCATCATGCTTATAATGCACCCATGCAGAGATTATCATCTTATGGCAATGCTAACCAATAGACTAAACCAAGCCCATTTCTTTTCAGAATCACTGCTCATATTTGTTATGGTAAAGAATACTTCTGAGAATATTTTTCCAAAAGCCTCTTACTTTAGTTATCAAACAAGTAAAGCCTTAAAACAATGAGAGTCTTCCCATGAGTTAAATATAAATTTTATAAATTAAGGCATAACAGAATAGAGTAATTCAAAAGTGAACCTTGACAAAAGGATATAAATAATTACTTTACTAAATGTTAAAATGTTAAAACACATTATAAACAGTTTTCAAAACTACTAACAATTTGACTCTGCAGAACATATTTTTATCATTCATATGGAATTATTGTTAGATATTATAGACATTGTTATTAAAAATTTTTATTAATCATAAATACTTAAGATGATACACCTGTAACATTTTCCTTTTTTTTTATCCTGTAACACGGCAATTACCTTAATAAATTGAAAAATCTTCAGAAATTATATATTGGTTATGCACATTGTTTTAAAAGTATTTCACCTCTAATTCCATTCTTATCTGGAATTATAAGATAAATTTTCTGTTTTTATATAATCTATTTTGCATTTTTTTTGCTTATAAAGTGGTATATGTTCACTAAAAGTGAGTTCCAATATATATATTGTACATGGTACTTGAGAAGTATCTGACACATAAATAGTAAAGTTTTAAAAGTTCATGTATAAATCTACAAAAAGTTGATTGGTCAAAGTACTAGAATGTATGTTACATCTTGCTCTTACTAACGTTTAAGTTCTTATAATTATTAAATGCCCGGATAGACAAATAAAATTGGTGGAAACATTCTAAAACAAGAGCTTTATAAGACATTCAAACACTGAACAATTACATCTTCAAACTATTTTGAATAAGTATATCCTTAGAAAAGGAATTAAATTACCATAATTCAAAAAATTAATCACTAAGCAAAAATCAGGACATTTTAGGCACCTATTCTTCAGTCAAAATATAAATTGCTTTCAAGAAAGTTCATTAGCTACTTATTTATTAATGATTTAAACAAAGAATTCCTCAGAATATTAACCAGAGTGAGACTACATACTTAAATTTCACAATAGGGCAAACTACAGGTCCTTAGATTCATAGTCTGGCAGGTTAACCACACCCAGCTCTAAAAATACTTTAAAATTAAACATCATAAAAGATATTGTTGGATATCACATATGATTATTTGTACAATTAACAGCCCATCACTGATCTAAAGCAATTTGTAATTTGAGTGAACGGGAAAAAAAAAAGATAAATTTTCTTTTAATCAAATTTATATTTTACCATCATTCTTATAATTCTAACTTAATTGTAACAAGTTTTTAATGTTAAAATGTTACATCATACCACATAATTTCTGGAAATTGTAAGTTTAGTTAGTTAGGTAAAGATTTTTTTTTCATTATCCACTTAAAAGTTTGTGATAATTTTTAAATGGTTAGAAGTTGCAAAACTGCTGCTATTGTAAGCTATGCAATATTTTATGCTGTAAATTTTTTATATCTGCACTAAAATACTCACAACTTTGTTATATGCAAAACAAAAGTTTACTATGGTGTTACTTAATGGAATTTTCCTACTATTAATTCGATTACAACATACTTGGATTCTGAAAACTTACAAACTGTTGTCCACAACATGAAATCAATGGTGGTAGTAGAACAAAAATTTTGTTAGTTACATCAATACACAATAATTCATCAACTAATAACATTTTATACAATGTTTTCATAGCTCAAAGAACTCTAGGATGTGGAAAAAAATAATAATATAAAAATAATAATATACTGATGGAACTTTGCTTAAATATCATTCCAAAAATTTTCAAAAGTGTATCATTGGGGGATTTTAAATAGAATGAGTCATATGGTGTAATAAATATTTTTTCAAGACAAAGAAATAAAGCAACAGAAATAGCTATTTTCATCTCATTGAAGCAAAAGACAAATGTGAAAAAGCCAATTTTAAGATTGTTTTGTTTGTAGTTAAGCACAAAGCAACAAAATGGGTTATCTATGTTGTGCCCACCACAGGTATCAAAACTCAGTATTCAGCATTATAAGCCATCAAGCTTATTGCTGTGCCACTGGGAGACACCAACTTTAAGTATCCTGCACTTACATCTAATGGCCATTATTAGCATAAAATGTTACCAATAAACTAGATTTTTATCCAATTTTAATTGCATTTCTTTTCTGAAACATTTTAACTGTAAGGTTAGTTAGAACAATTGATTCCATTGGTGCATTTAGTCACATAAGAGTTCAAAAATGTTGACAACACTAAAAAAATATAAAAAACATGACTTTTAACATGATTTAAGGTTTATTTATTTATTTATCTAATTTTACCGATTACTAAGTAAAATCAAATGCAAGTTTGAGCTTAAGTTTATAAAATCTGCATTAAATGGTTTGAAAAATGTCTCACTATGGGAAAAAATAACTTCTAAGACTGTAAGATGGCACAAAAATAGTTATTTACTTAAAATAAAAAACTTTAATCAGAGATCTACTAATTAAAATGGAATGACTATAGAAATGAAAATGTTAATCAAGTATTTATCATTCATTACACAGCTATACTGCTCGTTAGAGTTCAGTTTTTCTTTCAATCTTAACTAAATCCACTTCAAATATTAGGGTGGCATCACCTGGAAAGACAAAACAGACATCCAAGATAAAAAAAATAAATAATAAACTGAGTTTTATCCATGAAATATTCTTTTTTTATTTACCAGCATCCTAATCCTAGACATCAACTGTTTGTAATTTCCCCTAAACTAACTGTCTTCTGGTTTTAAGTCTGGTTGATTTTTTAAACGATTTTTTCTTCAAACTATCCATGTACCAAATTGCTTATGGGTCTGCAACTTTGCTGACAGTTTCTAATAACATATGAAAAACAAAACATCTTAAACAAAAATACTATCAATATTACAATTAATCCCACTAATTGCTGCTGAAATCTAATTATACAAATGAGTGATTTCATCCAATTATTTTAGTCAGCCCTTTTTACCTTACAAAATGATGCAATATGTGGACCCCATCAATAATGAATGATATAAAAAACAAAACAGTAATTTTGGGGTTGATCTAAACGTTACAGTATATCAGTCGTTTGTTAAATCTTGTACGAGAAGAATAAAAATGCTTAGTTATGTGAACAAGAATATGTTTCGAAATTCTTATACTTTTTGTTACATACCGCTTTTAGGATTCACTGTAAAATTAATCACAAATTAAAGAGGGGTAACAATTTCACATCCAACTGCATGTTTTTATAATTTTCTGCAGATCCTTTACTAAACATATGGTATTACTAGCAATAACAAGCAATTAAATATACTTTTAACTACTTATTTTATAAGAACTAGTGAAATGTTTTGCAATGATAAAAACAGCATCTGTAATATTAACATTCTGTAAGTAATAATACCTTCATGATAATTAACAACATTACATAAAACGTTAACAATTTTATAAATTGAAAATGTATTTCCAATAATACTTACCTCCAGGGTTTTTTCCTTCGCCCATCTAAACATTGGTCTGATTTTTTTTTCCTTGCTCCAGTCTTTTATACCCCACTCAATTGTTCTTGGCAATATTTATCTCTTGATACTCTCCACCTACGTCAATGTGCCCTCTATCCCGGTACCGTATATAAGCACCTCATTCATATAACATTAGCACTTTTTCAAGACTGACTCAATCTCTAACACTTGCTCTTAGTGGGGAGGAGGGCAGGAGAGTGTGAGAAAAAGGTAAGTATTATTGGAAATATATTTTCAATTTAGGAAAATTTTAACTTCCAAAACATACCTCTGCTGATACTTATGGCTAGAATCCCACATTGAGAAGGTGGAGGGGCTTGTGAGGGCATTATCCATACAGAAAGAGTCTGCACAGATTATGGGTTTGCCAGTAGAAGATTGGCACCCCTAGTGGGGGAACCACACTACATCTACAACAGGTATGCTCTTCACCCAGAATTTTGTTTGTGTTTCATGGGCAGAATTGAGTGATCATCACTATAGGCCAGCCCCAACTAGATAGTCGAGGTTCCACTACTTGGGGTTGGAATTAAGGGGTCTTGATCCCTATATCACACATTGGTGGTTAGGGCAATTGAACTGCAACATGACAGATATATACTTGTGAGTAGATCCCAACTTGTAGCCATAGAGTGATGCGTTCTGAGCCACCTGAATCACGACGAGAAATTAAGCAACACCAAAGTGGACAAACGTTCTCCTCCACCCGAAGAAGCTCGAAAGGCAACACCCAAGGTTTGGAATTATGGTATTGTGTTAGCCTTACTCAACCAAAGGAATAGAACTCATCCAGTCTGGAATTATGAACATTCTCCTCACTCCCCAACCAAGTGAGCAAGGTACATTCATTTCATTTGCCCTGGAATTATGGGGAGGATGTGGAACAACTGTGCTCAACCAAGGACCCAGGATGGGATCACTCCACATTGGGAATTATGAGGAGATACTGGGCCCTTTTCCACGAACAATGTACTGAATCTATATTGGTCAAAAAGAAGAGCCAGGCACATCTCAATCAGATAGCTGAATATCAATTCTAAACCGGTATTATGAAAACGCTCCCGTGTAAGCTGGTGCCACTCTTACCGACATCTGGGAAAAACATCCAGGGAAGAGAGCCCACAACTTTGCCCTATTCTCAAAGAGTAGAGGAATTTACTCTAACACTTTGGAGAAAAAACCTCTGTCCACCATCCCAATGACTAGAAACCGGGTGTGTAGAATCAGCGGGGGGTTAATACACATTGGGGAGCCCTGAGGAACAGTGCTCTGGAAACAGTGCAGTAGGCGAACCAAGTTCCCTAAATTTTTAAAAGCAAACCGACCTTGACTTATTCAATCCAAAGATCGGTAGGGACGGGCAGGATTCCCTTATGCTTTACTCATGATAGTCCATCATAGAATAGTAATACCACCTGGTTAGCTCCTAGGTAGTCTTATGGAACACCTCATTTCCACAGAGTTTGTTGCAACCTATACAAAGTATATTGAATTAGTGGTTGCTAGTGTGGATGTGGTTTGATAAAAGTAAACCTGTCTCTGTCTGCCAGAGAGTGGAATCCTATGAAAACAAGGTAAGGGACCCTGTAAGTTAGAAATAAAAATACTCACACTACTGGATAGTCTAGCAGAATTGGTGAAGATAGCTACAGGGGGTAGGCAAAAACTCTCAGATCAAGAGACTGCCAGATCATGCAAATAAAGTGAGATAAAGGTATAAAGGGAAATTCACATACCAGTGGGCAATTCAACTGAGCAGCTAAGGACATAGAAAAGTGACAAATCAGATGAGATGCAACTCACAGAAGATTCTTTGCCTTCAAAGGGAGCCCAGAATAAAAATTATTGTCTAGTATCTCTAAAGGTATTAGTGCAGGCCACGTAACCCTCAAGACCCTAATTGATTATAACCAAGATTGCAATCTGATTGGACATAGAAGAGAGAAATGGTGAACAAATGAATCAGAGAAAAGGATTGAGCCTCTTTCCTGTCTGTTTGATATACAAGACTGTTTAGTCTAAGTGTTGTTATTTTGTGACTTAATATTTAATGATTGTTTAGTTTTTAAGACAGGAGTGTTGAACATGGATTATCTAAAATGTGTCAGATGTGACAGATTTCTTTAGGTAACTCTGTGTCAGTCATACGTTGTGTTTGCAATTACATTGTTGTCTAGGCTTTACTAATATTGTTGATGTCATGTTAGTCAAATCTTCGGAATTTTTGTCATTACCTTACAGTGCCACTCGCATAGTTTAGACAATTCGAGGCCTCAGTGAACAAGCTATACATATATATGTTGGTGACCGAATGAGAGCAAGTTAAGTGAAGTAAAGTGAAGAAAAAAGTGCAGTACAGTCAGAAAATTAGTTAGTGAAAGAAACTGTGAAGTTCGCCAACACATGTGAGTATTAGCCATAACAGGCGATATTTTAAAGTGAGTTTTACAGTTTAATAGAGATAAGGAGAATAATTTGTCTGGTCAAAGGGTGTTCTAAAGTAACTGAACCTATCTGTGTGGACATTGACAAAAAGGAGACAATTATTTAAAGTTCAGAATACAACTGTGACAACCCACGGGGTAACATAAGTGAGTTATTGTGATAAGAAGCAAAAAACAATTTGCCTTGTCAATTGGATTCTAAACTAATTGAATCAGTCTGTGTGAACTTTTGACAAGAAAAGAGAATTATTTAGAGTTTTAAATACAACTGGGATATCCTATAGTGTAAAGAATTTTTTGTAGATACTTTTAACTTGTTTTGAATATATTATTTTAAAACAAGTAGATTGTGTGCTGTCCATTTATTGTTTGAATTTATCGCCAACAAGTCACAGACACCTACTGTAGAAGAATCCTTAGCCCACATACACATAAAACCCTGACACTGGCTGATATGGTGTTGGGTAAGAACTGGTCTGAGGACACAGAAAGAATAAGAAAGTTGTCTGTGGACAATGCTAATCACACCAACTAGTGACATCCATAGGTCAGCAGTCACGAAAAATAAACTTGCAGGTAAAGGGGATACATGGCATATAAGTCAGGTTACAAACAGGTGTGGAGACAGAACACGTAATGCAACCTTAATATACCTGGTAGGTAACTGAAATGGTCATTTTGGACCGAGTACCCAAAGCAACTTGTGAAATCTGGAGAGTACTGGGGACTCAAAAAATGTGTAGTTACAATAATCAAATGGTAGTCAATATGGCTGCCTTAAACAAGGCAATTGTGGAAGATACAAAAACCTCTGCCAAAATGCCAGATAAAAAGAAAAAAAGTTATGGTTGATACTACTGATCGAAATGGGTTCGACCTCCTCTCAACACACCATTGCTAATATGAGAGTCATAATCATTGAAAATGTGCTTTTCAGACTAAGCAAAAACAGACAGATACATGGCAACCTCAAAAATTAAACCCCTATGCAGTGGGAAAGACAACATAACCTCTATACCAGAAGCTTGAGCTTCTGGATAGCCAGGTGTACCACCTCAGATCATGGCTACCTCCACAGAGAGAGCTTAAAAAAAGAAGTGGAAGAGTTGGACACCCCAGAAGCAGAAACATGTGTGTAGCAGCCAATTTGGTGCTATGAACAGGACTTGACAATGGGTTGGAATTAATCATATTTAGCACCCTGGGTAACATATGAAGTAGAGTGAAAGCTTAGAGTTGTAATCCCATCCCATCCTAATGGAATGCATCTATTGCCAAACCCCGAAGATGAGTTACTGGAAATCAAATTGTCAATAGTTCGGTGATCCAACTCACTAATTAGTGGCAAAATGAGTGTCAGTCCAACTGAATCTTGTGATGCAACATGTACTCTGTCAGGAGAATCTGTATGGATTGAGACAATTGACCTGCTACCACAGGCCTTCCCGTGGAACATGGCAAGCTAGCAGGGTGGTAAGACAGGAAAAATCCCGGGGCTCCTCCCACAATTCCAGGTACAGTAAAGAATCATTTTACAACTTACCATTATTTTTGCAATTATACAATCAAATGATAAAATAGCATGTTATTCTTCATTCAGCCAGGTATATGTTCTTATAGTTTACCAAATTATATACCAATATATGTTAGACTAAGCCTACTCATAAGTATTTTTGCTCAAGATGCATAGTAAAATATTTCCAAAACATACTTATCTGTGCTGACACTTAAGCTATTACTCGACCTCTAGGGGTAAATTGTCAAGTTTCACTTTGACAATTCCATGATGGTGTGTCATGTTTCTCATCAAGGAGGTATGTGGTCTTGGAATCCTTGTTTTTGAATTTTGGACTTCCTTTCTTACTTGACCCATATCCAAGATCTGATGGTATAACCAATTTCCGTTTCTCCCCTTCACACATTCTATAATATAAGATTAACTTCAAAAATGTGAAAACTAACTGCAAGGTTTGTAATTTCTAAAACCCTTACTTGTACTTCAAATATTAACTTAAATCAAGGTGAGATTACAGAGCAATTGATACGGGGCTCATACTAGGGCTTGCAGTTAAAAGCAACGTAAATTATTTCAAAATTAAACAGTGAATGGATCAATTCATACCAACAACTAGTTAAAAAAAATACATGTGGGGTCAGCCATTACATATGCACAGTTTTAAGCTCAATTTCTTCTAGGATGTTAATGTTACTTTTAGAATCTGTTTATGATTCACATGTTCCAACATTTGTAAATGTACCACTGACAGCTGAATACATAATGTCATCCTGTATGTATAAACTTCAATATTATACAAATGCATACAAACAAACTAAACAATACTTGTCTGAAATTATACTAGAAGAGCTTGAATTTTTAAAACCAACTCAAGTATTCAGTACCAGAACAATCTTTATTACCTAATATTACTTTCAGAATTTCTTCATTGATAAACTACAATATGTTTATGCTACACAGGTAAACAAAATAATCTTGAAGTGAACTTCCATCAAATGTTCTTTAGTTTTGATATGCAAATGAACAATTATAAATGAAAAATATGCATTATACCCAAGTAAACCTTGATCCCATCCTCGAATGACTTGACCTGATCCTAGAGTGAAAGTTAATGGCTGATCTCTTTTGTAGCTGCTGTCAAATTCTGTGCCATCTTCCAAAGTTCCCTACATATTAACCAAATTATACAAGTTCCTTACTTAAAATGTATTGTAAACTGTATAACTTTAATTTCACTTAAGAATATGTAGGTAAAGTTCTCTGTCTATCTTTCTCTCTTAAAAAAAATAAATTCTACAACTAGCTTTTTTTAATAGAAAAAACAAAAACATACTAGATATAATACTTGTACTTCAACTCATCCTTTTAACATTCTACTAAAGACTAGCTGACTTCTATCCTACCCTTAAAATTAATATTTTCTGCTCCTAGGTTCATCCAGTCAATACTAAGTCTATAGAACCATTCCAAAAAAATCAATAAGAAAGTGAAAAGTAATCCTATTTTAGACCAAGGCTTTCCAAGATCGTAATTAAAACTTTTAATATTACAGAAATCAAACAGTAAGTTTGTTCAAACTCATAAATTGCATCAACTACTCTATAATCTTGCTGTTCTTTAAACAGAAGTTTATGTTTAGATATAATAGCACATATTTTAAATCAAGAATTATTTTAACAGCCATCTTCTATGCTTTCACCAGTAAACCAATTTCCTTTCGAATGTAAGAAGAACAAAACAGACAGTATTTTACAGACATTAAAAGAGTGGGAGCCCTGGTAGTCATAATACAGCAGTGATTTGTGTTTGAAAAATGGACAAGGTCTGTTAGCATTTTTTCTTTCCCAGCTGTAGTTTCTGAGAGGTGTGAATGTTGTAGAGGATAGGAATGCAGTAAATAAAAGTGACACATTCAGAGCCACTCCCAAAAGTAGTTCCATTTGTGGTTAACTGTCAGTTAACACACCTATTATTTTAAACTGATAAAGTATCATCAAATTTTTGGAAACACTTTCAAAAAATGGTTTGTAATGATTATAAAATAGCAGAGACAAAAATATAGTTCATGCATTTGAGATCATTTGCTTGACTGAGAGATCAAACAAAGCATTGTACATATGCATAGCAATGGGGTCAATGAAGGTTTGTTTGTTTTAGAACAAAGCCACAAGAGGCTATCTGTTGTGTCCACAATGGGGAAATCGAAACATGGATTTTAGTGTTGCAAGTCCATAAACTTACCACTGTTCCACCAGAGGACTGAATGGAGATTTTAGTTAGTGTTGTCATGAGATGAAAATCTGTGGCAAGATTATTTCTAATATAATATTGTATTATTCTCATTCTTTCTAAATTTCTTCTGCAGCATGTAGAAATAGCAGGTGTCATGTCATTTACTGAAAAGGGCTGTAAAAAGTAGAGCTGGGCAATTAAATCAATTAACCAACACAATAAATTACCTGTGGACATTACTTAATACAAAAAAAAAAACCCAGCAAAACAAACACTCAAAATTATGATTAAATTGATTAATGTCAAAAAAACAATCAACTAATCAAAATTATTCTAGCTATTCAAATCTCATGCTAGAATAATCAATTAATAAATTTCACTAATTGCCTAGCTCTAACATGTAATCAGAATATTGCCAGTATGATTGATCATTATTTTCGATTATTCCAACTATCCAAGTATCATGAGAATAATTAATTAATTGAATGCAATTGACTAATGAGCCCAATGATAATTCAATTATAAAATTCCACTGTCATGTTCTAGTAAAAAGAATTAACAAAATAACATTTACAGACACTCATAGGTGCAACTGCAATGGTGGCTGTCAGAACAGAAGCACTGAACAGTCATTATGTAGTTTAAATAGACATCATGTCCATCCATTGTGTTGACACTGTATACAGCAGCAACTACAGTTTGAACAACAATTTCAACAGCAGCGTAAAGCACTGTCTAATGCCAAATTCCTGTAAAGGGCCTGCAATGGCTGCTCACTCCAGTGGAAATGTATATTCCCATGCAGTAACTAGTGCATGTCTATACTACATGCAATAAAAAAAATTGCAAAAATTAAGTATGATGTAGGTATGGCAATTCCAAAAAGTACAGAAACATGGTAGTGATGATTACAAAAAACTATACAAAAATCCCTACATAAATAGCCAGTAAGTACTGAGTCAGTCTTACAAGCTTATAGTTATTAGCCACTGTAAAACTGTATAGCACTACTCAGTTTAAATGCTTTTATTGAAACCTGAATTCATGCAAGTGACAGGAATTCAACATTTAGTTGGAGATAAAAGTAATTCTTGGAAAGATTTGGCTAGCTACGTAGTTATTTTTCTATGGTTTTGTGTATTCATCCCTACCTTGTTTCTATACTTTTTGGCATTACCATCCCTTCATCATAATTAATCTTTGCATTTTTTTTAAATATTGTTTACCCTCTGTTTTTAAACAATTTCATTGAAGTAGGTTGATAAATGAATATTTGTTTTATTTTTATAACCAAGTGGTAATATATACTGTTAAAATCATATCAGTTTTGTCAGTTTCTCTAATTTTTGATTACATTGGGGGGCCAGTGAAGCAGGAATAGTTCCTCCAGGATGGCACAAGTACCCCATGTTAGCTTATTCCTGCAGCACATTTTCAATACCCATGACTACATCTACTATCTAAAATTTTTTAAAAAAATCAGGAGATGGATATCTGAAATCTGATCGAAACTAGTGTCTTCTTTGTTTCATAGTGAAACAATTGTATCACACTGTATCGTCCAATGAATAAAAGACTAAAACTAAAACAGCATTCTCTGATATGTTTCTCTGGTTCAATTACACAGATACATACATACCAGGTTCTCCAGATTTCTAGGAGGTTAAGAGTCTATGCCCCAAAAATTTTGGACATTCTGCTACCAAACACTAAACTTGATCATTCTTACCTTAGAATTTATCTCGCATAATTAGCTTTTCTTCTCAGCAAAAACTAAAGATATATTTTATCTTCAAATATTTAATCTTTATTATCAATCTATTTCTTATTGACTAATACGTTAAAATACCAAAATTATGAGAATGTAAGAGAACTCTTATTTGCACCAATAACTAGATTAAATATTTTTTGCAAGGTACACACACACAGTACATATTACTTGTTAATAAGGCCCATCATATTAACATTATATAACCTCAATCTTTATGGCTAAATATATTATAGTGTTCATAATTGACATTTTTCAAAGATATTTGTTACAGTACTTAATTATGCATTAGTAAATAAACTTAATCATTCTCAAAATATAGGTTGAAAATGACATGAACTTGAGTATTAAAAAAACAACTCTCAAGTACATATTATAATATTAGAATTGTTACTTTTGCCAGTTAGATATGCAAGGTACATCAGTGATACAAAACAATTATGTCAGTAAAATTCTAATTCACTACACAATAAATAAGCTTACTGTAGCAAGTCGTCCAAAATTTCAAAAAAACGATTACCTACTCAGATTTTGGAACTGTATATTTGAATTCAAGACATTTGTGGGAAAACTATGATGATAATGAAGTTAAAAATAATTTATATGGATTAATATAATATTTTGTGAAATTTTTATGTGATTAACCAGACAGGATGGAACATATGTGAAATAACTTTTTTATGGACTTATTATAGTGTTTTTCTTGTTTTCAAGACAATGCCTCAAAACCAAGAAAAATAGTGTAAGTCCACAGAAAACTCAGGCCACTTAACTGAATAAATTTCAAAATAAAAAAAGTTTAGGAAGTGTTAATAACTTTAATATTATCAAACTTATTATATTATAATATTATATTATTAATATTATTTTAAAGTGAATTTGCTAGTATCATTTGTATTATTCCATTATCAAATAATTCACAGAATACCTTAAAAAATAACTGAAAATATTTAGGTACTGTTTAAGTATAAAAGTTCTGTCACATGTATCAATATGTTGAAATTAACCAGTGTTTACATACATTTTAAACACAAGGAAATGTAGAAAAATGTAGCATTTCTTAACTGCTTCTACATATACCTTTAACAAATGTAATAACTTAATTTTCATGTTGGCATACCTTATAATGCATATGAAGAACATCTCCTTTTCTAGATTTTTTGTCACATGTTTCGGGTCTCTTTTTTATACCTATCTGTAGCTTCTTAGGTTTTGAAGTTGTTGAGGAAGGTGTTGATGACTCATCACCAATGACCACAAACTCAACCAAACACAAAACCAAAATTCCCACAAGACAAAACTTTATAAACATTTCTTTGAGCGTCATTATTATAGTGCTGTAATGGAAAAAATTATATTATTATAATTTCCATGTAAGAATATTTTTAGTTGCAAGCCTTATGAAGAACAGATAAATATAATTGGATCTAGTTTAGCTATAACTAATTTTTTATTGAATGTTACAACATAAAACCAATAAATGTGCTACGCTAACGTGCAATATCTGCGATCATTTGACCACACAATAGCAAATCTACTGATCCTTGCTATTTTCTATCTTCTTTTACATATTTTTACCTTTTAATTTTAGATAACAATCTCATAAAAATTATTACATTCACTTCATCAAATTCCAATTTCCTAATTGTTTATGGTCAATCCATACGAGAAATACTTGAATACTAATATGATAGAAAAATCAAAGCATCAGAACAGAATCTATTATCTGTTAAATCAAACTTTACTATAAGAATAATGTCAATTTCATTACTTGTTGTGAATCATTTAAGCTATGAGAGGAGAAGTTAGAGATTAGATTTCTTTGGAAGGTACAAGAATTAAGGGAGACTTGATTCATATACTTAGTCATTTGGAGCTTTAACAGTTTTCCCACCAGTTGTCTGCTCAGGTAATGAAATAATAGGAAATTTAAACTTAGACACTAGAATTAATACGTTAAAGTATTTAAAATGTGGATAAAGATTTCTTTTATAATCAAATTATTTTTCAATTAGTTATAAAGTTACAGGATTTATCATTTTCCTAATCTTAAAATGTATTTCCAAACATACTTACCTCTGCTGACATTTATAGTTATTTCTCAATCTTTATCTTTGCCATCTAAACGTTGTGTTCGCTTGCTCCAGTCTTTTATACCCCACTTTTACACCGGCCCTCACACACCCTCTATTTGGGTACTGTATATAAGTAGAATCCCACATTGAGAAGGTGGAGGGGCATAGGTCATACAGAAAGCGTCTACACAGAACAAAGGTGTGCCACAAGAAATAGTACCCAAGCGTGGAAAACTGCACTACATCCAGAACAAATACCCTGGTATTCCTACCCCAAAAGAAAATCACCCAATCCATGAAGAGATGGATTTCCAGATGAGGAGGGGGTATCTGGGCCCCGATATTCGGGTTGTTCCAGTCAAGCCACCACTTGAGATCTGCAAAGTGTTTTCGAGCCAAGAAACTGCTTGATCCAAAGGATCAGTATGCATGAGCCACTGGTCACAATGTGAGCACTGAAGGGATCACATATGGGCCTGACCCAATGGCACGAGGGATTCTAGGGAAGCCCAAATCCCCAAAACAAACAGAATCATCCACGCAGTGGGAGAAGGTGATGTAAGCAAATGATTAATAATCCCTTCCATAGGGTGAAGTCCGAAGGGAGATGGTTGAGATGGTGAGAATGGATTTTTCAAACCTGATAATGAAGCCAGCCCTTCTGGCTGCAGAAATGAGAATCTGTTGATGTAGTTCAGCAACGTGACAGGGTGGTGCCGAAAGAAGTCAATCTTCCAAATAGTGATGTGTGCACAGACTCAGAAAATGGACATGCTGCTCACAGGCCCATACTACTTGGCAGAAATCATATGGTGCTGAATCAAGTCTAAATAGGAGAGCATGGAACTGCAACACCTGGTCCTTGTGCACAAAACATAAAAATCGAGGAGAAGACTGTTTAGGGGATGTGAAGGTAGGCACGAAGTTGAAGAAAAGATTCCATGGTAAAACAAGGAGGCTGTAGGAAGAGATTGAGATGAGACAGATCGATGATAGGATGCCAATCTCCAGTTTTCTTGGGCACCAAAATAGAGATAATAGAATCCTGGATGAACAGGATCGACCTTCTCAATGGGTAGTCCCTGACAATGCTGGCACCGTCCAGACATGTCTGAAGATCCCTGAGAATATGGATGGAACCGATTCTGTGAACCAATAGGATGAGGTGTCGAAGGTGGGGCCATGAGACACGATTGGTTGATCCTCCACAATTACATGTTGGAGTAGAAGAGAGGTAAGCCATCAACAACGATAAAGAAGGTTGCAAATGTGCCATATCAAATTAGGCTTCGAAAGTTTCAGGGACTCCATCAAACTAATAAGGCCGAAGAAAGGGTGCCTCCCAGAAATCATGAAGAGTAGTGGATGGCAAAAAAAAATACCCTCAAACAAGGCATCTCAGTTCAATAAGTCCCAGCCACAGACCAATCATGACATCAAGACAAGACCCGAAGAGGACAAACGAGCTATGGGGGTAACTAGTAAGGGTCCCAGTTCATCATTAAATTGATGAGAACAGCGTGATATGCTTCAGACAGGAAGGGAAGTATCACAATACAGTAGTGAGAGTCAAACGATTCCACAAAAGTAAAGAGTGATAACAGGTTCTAACCTGGAACCCCATAGATCCAACCATTTAGTACCCAAATATACTGTAGCTGGACAACAAGCCAGGGCATGTTGTTCTGATAAACGAAGGGGGCAAGGCATAGCAATACAATCTCGTAATTGCATTGCAAACTTCCAGGCATGCACAGCAATATCAGGGGAATGAAGAAAAACTAAGTAATCCTCCCCAAGATCTATCTGACAACAAGGCAGGGATAGACTCAACAGCAGCAGGGTTAATCCCCAAAATTTCACAGAATCACGTAACTAACTACAGAAAAAAGGGGCAGATGGTGGCTGATCAGCTAAGCCCACAGTAGAGGCAACACTAGTGAAAGAAGGAGCAGAAAACAAATGTCTAAATTCTCCCCAGTATGTTCAGGTTCATGATAAAAAGTGTTGTGCCTCAGGGGTTAGTCCTTTTCTTTTCTTATTTGCATCAATGATATTGACAGGGACATAATAAGTAAAGTTTGCTCACAACATTAAACTCTTGATTATTTATATCTGCACTGAGGATCTGAAGAACCACTTGAATCAACTGGTAAGTTGGACAAATAGTGATGCAAACTTTTAATTACTTCTTTAATATTCAACAGCAGAACTGAATCTTGGCATTGTTATAGATAAGTCACGCAAGCTACCAAGACAGTGATCTGTTGCCAACAATAAATAGAATTTAAGACTGCATTTATGGACATACTGATAATAAGTCAAAAGAGGTTATTGTCTTATTGTATAAAATACTAGTTAGGGCTAATTTGGAACACTGAGTTTTATTCTCATTATCTAAGAAAGAATACTTACAAATTTTAAGAGTTTAGAGGATAGCTCCTCAATGGTATCAGGAATATAAATTTTATCTTAGAAGGTTAGATTAAGATCTCTTAAAAGTTAAATTATTTTTTCTTTAGAAAAGAATATGAAGATGTGATCTTATTGAATTTCACAAGATTATCCAAGTAATCAATAATATAAAGGCTTCTGATTTATTTGTGCCAAATTATGAAGACAATAGGGTAAGGAAACACAAGTTTAAGATTCAAAAAATAAAGACAGGCTTGGCTTAAGCCTAGGTTACATTTTTCTAACAGGGTGATAAGCTATTTTTAATAAGATGTTATCAGTAGTATTGGAGAACAGCATCTCATAACAGTTTAAAAGTGCAAACTGATTTATTTTCATAATAATAAAGGGTATCATTTTTCTTCTACTTAAGGGTGTTTATGCAGAAATAGCTTTTAAAAACCAAATGATCCCTTGTTGTCCATATGTTGTGTTAGAATCTTTGTATTACAACTGGAAAATTAACTGATTACCCATGAGCATCAATTAAATTAATTAGTGTCACACAAAATGATTAATTGAAATTATGACTATAATGTCATGAACATAACTAATCAAAATTAGTATTTCAGATTATTACCATTCTTGATTATTCCAACTATCCAGTAATCAAAGTATTGTCAATATGATTTTCATCATTTTCAACTGATTCAGTTTTTCTTCTTAATTGATTAGTGTCACAACTCAAGAAAATAATAAAGTGATCAAAATTAGTGTTTTCAATTATTCTAACTATCTAAGACTTGCGAGAATAATAAATTAATTGATCGTAACCAATTAATGAGCCCACCAACTAATCAATTAACAAGTTACACTAATCATCCAGCTTTACTTTGTATAAGTGTTACTTTTTTTATATTTCATTTGTCCCTTCTTGTCTGTATGTCAAGTTAGTATCTGTGTATAAGAGTTACTATTTTTTATACACCTTATTTTTCATTTTAAAAGCAACATTTTTAATGTCTGGTGATCCTAATCTAGGCAACTAGTAATCAATAAGGGTACTATGATTAGTATGTCAGCAGAGGCAGTATTCATTAAAAAGAAGTGGTATGTGATGGAAACTGTTGAGACAGTTGTCTACCCAGTTGGCACATGAATATTCTCCTGCCTGTTACACTGAGAGTTACCTTTTCCTGCCAAAATGATGACTGAATATGCAGCCCAATTCAGGTGTTTTTACAATTGCAATATACAAAAAGTCATATGTAGCTGTGTACACACATAATGAAACAAAGTCTGCTGGAACTGATAGTTGTTTAACTACAGTCTTCTGCTCTTAGCTGTCACTAACACTCTCTTCTTTAGACTAACAAAACATATTTATATCAAGGACCCCTTAGTTTTTTTCAGCTTCCTGACTCATCTGTGAGAAAATAAAAATTTTAATTACACAAGCTTCTGATACTAATAACTTTTAAAAAACAGTGACAGTAGTCGATGTTAATATCAAAAAAAATAATAATAAGCCTAGTAGTTGTAGTGAGACCACTAGGAGTTTCTTACATTGAAATGAACATTACAAAAGTGTACTCGACACGTACAAGTAATAAATGTTCATTCTGAACAGTCATTATAATGATTATTATTGTCTTAACTATTAACAACTTTAAACCAATAAATTATATTAAATTACTCCCAATATAACTATATTATACTTATACAGTTTTATCCGTCGATAATTTAATTATTAATTATAATTAAGTTAATAATAATAGAAAAAGTTAAACTATTATAAGTAAAACTAAAAGCCAACGAACGATCACTTTTGTCCATAAAAAAAGTGAATAACATAAAAGAAATACTAGTAGGAATTTATGAAGTAATGTAAACATAAAACTTGAAAAAAGTACCTTCTGATTTCTAGAAACAATAGTTTATAGCAGCTTACCGGAATCGTTTACCAATATTAACTTTCAAATCGTGCTCAGCTAAGTCGTGTCACTTCTCTCTAATAGATATGTATACTTAAAACCGGCGCGTCCTCTATCACCTATAGATTTTACTTAACGATATGTGTGTGAATATAGTAGAAACAAATATAATATACAAAATATGAACTTAACAATATCATGCCTAAGTTGGCAAAAATTATCAACCCCACAAAACAATAAAATACAATCTAATTCAAATGCGCGCATAAACAAAACATACAAAAAGAAATGCCAAAATACCAATAGTCAGAATTAAGTGGTGTGTATAACTGCATACTAGTATTCAAACATCGTTGAAAATAGCCTGTCTTATCAATCATACCCAATGCGAGCGAGTGGAGATTCCAATCCGTCTCACACTATGACTAAGAAATTCCACTTCTGTGCACACGAATGTAGATTGTTCTGGTTTCTGTTTCAAGCCTGCTTTTTTGTTGTTCTTATGAAATATGATTTTCAGGTTCTCGGCCGAAGACTTAATTGTGCTACCAAACACTAAAATGTTGTCAACACAGAACAAACACTTCTCCCATTGCAACGCTTTCACCATAAACTTCATTAGCTTCTCACAAGTGGCAAGTAAATTACACTAATAGAATGACATCATGCAAAACTCACACAAGCCATCTCTTATGCTAAAATCATTCTCAGGTCTTCTCTCATCTAACTACTTGCCAGTATCTGTATGCTAGGTCTAATGCATTGTACAACCGAACCTCTTCCAATATGTTTATACATTTATCTGTTTGCAGAAATGAAAATGTGTCAATATGCAATACTGTGCTCACCCATCTAAAATAAATACAGAACCTTGGAATAACTTATTTCTTTCTGGTAGTCACTATATATATATATTGTTACGCCTCTGATTCGTTTGTTAATTTCCCGTAAAAATTCTTTCCGAAGAAACTTTAGCGATACAAGTCCTTTCTTAAATGAAATTAGTTTATTCTTTCTCAATACAACTTTGCAATACACTTAATTTCCACAGTCACGCTATAACTTAAACAGACGCTATAATTCACAACGAACGATTCACGCGCTTGACTCAATTGCCTGTCTCTATCTCTGTATGCAATTCAATTCCATTGTTGCCGTCACTTCTTGGCGGTCTTATATACAAGAATACCGCACATCTAGTAAACACTCGAGCATTCACAAACTTTCGAGAATATCATGACGTGTTACTAGCGTCACGTGACTCCCGCTGTCGTAACACTGCCCCTTCCTTAGTATTGTTCGTCCCGAAAAATAGCCACTTACATTAAACCAATAGATAATTAACAATAACTTAATTAAATGTACAGAATTTACAAACACTGCAAACACAAAATTATAATTCAACAAAGTCTCTTAATTTTACGGGACGTATCTTCTTCCGTACTGGTCTCCATCTCGTTGGGTTCTGCTTCAAGTGGGGTTCATCTGCTTCATCACGAAATGTCCTATCATCGGTAACAGTCACATCAGTGGTAGTAACTTCATCAAGGCCTTCACTGTTTCCCTTCTCCAAACCGAGTAGAGTTTCTTCTTCGGCAGTGGCCTTTTCAGGTGACAGTCTTTAGCAGCGTCATTTGTTCCATTGTTCATTTCATTCCAACTGAAATATCCTAGACCGTGATAACGCCAATGCCTGTTGGCATGCACCACCTTTGGCTTACCTCGCCGACCACATTTTATCCGGAAAGTCACGTCTGAGAGACGATCCACTATGTCATATGGGCCTATGTCATAAGATGACAACTTAGGAGACTTCCCTTTGGTCTTCCTGGGATTATAAAACCACACCTTGGCTCCTGGTACAAAA